TCATACTCATTGAAAAATGTGAAGCAGATGCTTTCCACTCAACTCAATGCTTGTATCTTCGTCTTGCTTCTTTCTAGTTGCAGCTTTTTGATAGATAAAATGAAATAAGTTAAGAATATGAAGATATAAGTTTTTCTGTCGTAGATACATAATTTTATCAATGTATAGTTTATATTGTCAGTTAGCTATGGCAACAAGCAATCTAAATTGAGAGAGATATGAAATGAATGAACATTCTTTTCCATTCTTTAATGGGTCTATTCCGATTCACTATCTGTTCATGAATATACAATTTTATATCATCTTCATTATTGACTGAACTGAACTGGACGGAGCAGCTCAACATTGACTAGTTTTGTATATTTTTATTCATACATGCTGCTTTCATGGATATTGTTATTAAAGTAGATATGACAGACATAAAAATATAATCGAACAAGGTATCCATGCCACTGTCAAATATCGTATGGAATAAAAGCTATTGTAATAAAATTATGAAACTAATTTGTGCATACTCTTGAAGCTTCATTCTGTAAATTTTTAATACATTCTGACAGGTAATGCAAAGGTAATTTATAATCAAATGAAATCAGACGAGAGCATTATTTCCCGTGTGACCAAATGACTGTAACAAAGAGCTTCACCTAGTTTGATATTCATTATGTTAATTTTATTATTAATGGAAACTGCACAAGTGAAATTTGAACTTTTTAACGAAATTGTAATATTTGAATTTTGACAGAATTGTAAAGTTTGAATTTTTAACAGAATTGTAAAATTTGAATTTTTTAACGGAATTGTAATATTTGAATTTTTTAACGGAATTGTAATATTTGAATTTTTTAACGGAGTTGTAATATTTGAATTTTTAACTGGCTTTTTAAATTTGAAATTTTAACGGATGATTTTTATAAAGTTTTAATTTTCCAATTACAATAGTTGTAGAACTTAAGAAGTCAACTTGATGTGGACTGATACGAACAATTCAAGAGTTTTGACCGTTACAGTTTCCAAGAAAACTTGTGAAAATGTCTTATTTGTCTGTCTGCCAATCAAAATTCGAAGTTTCATACCCTGCAGTTCGAAATTTTCGAAATTTACAAAAAAAAATAAAACCTAAATTAAACAAGTTTTGTATGAAATCTAGATGAAACTTTTGTTGGTCGTTTAATGGTAAGCATAACTTAGCTTTATCTTTTTTAAAACAATCAAAAACTCCAATAAAATCACTAAAATTGTAACGGTTTTTTTCAAATTTAAACTTTTCGAACGTGCATATTATAACTCCCCTAGACTTTCGATAAGTCTGTCGAACATGAATTGTTCGTATCAGGATGTGGAGGACCTTCCATCAATGTTTTATGTCTCCAATAATACCATTAAATCATATTACATCAACCTCATTCGTAAAAGGATTCATTAATTATGTAAAACTCATTTGTTCCTTTCCCTATTCTTTCTACACCAATAAATTTAATTTTGATTCATCCACTATGATTTATTTGACAAGAAGACAATGATATCCATTCACAAAAGTTAATCATACATGCATAAGTGCCAAGTTTTCGACCATAAAAAGAGAGAGAAAGAGAATAAGAGGAAGGGATATATGTATGTTTATCCATCAAGGATAATAAAATTATTGTGAGTTAAAAAAAAGTTTAGTGGAAGGGTTGAGAAAATTTCATTAACTTTTACATAATTTTTTATAGTTCTCAACTTTTTCCATCTCCATTTCGACAAAAAAAAAATTAGCTTACTTTTTATAAATTGTTGCATTCCATTATTCGTTTTGACATGATGGAAAAGTTGGTTATAAGTATAAGTACCTCTGTTATCTGTAGTAAAATAGACTGAAATGTTAAATGATTAAATATTTTTTTTTAAAAAAAAGATTCATACGAAAAAAATGCTCTTTAAACACAATTGAAAAATCACAGCACTAAAATTTTTTTTTACTAGTTCCGTTAGTTCTCTATAAAGCAATTAAGAAAAGAGCACAAAGGCACATAAAACTGCTACCCTCATAATGTGATTGAATAGAATTTTTATATATATGAATATTTAGGACACACACATATGATAATAATAAAGAGAATGGAAATGGAAGCAGAGTCACCAACTGAAAATAACAACTTCTATACCTGACAAAAATTGATTAATTAACGTGTGTGTAGTTCAGCAGAATAAAAAGTAGAATTTATGTGGCTCACAGAAAGAAGAGTGGGAGACTAGAGGGATGGCAGTGAAAGGAAATAAAAAAAAATTCTTTTTTTGGGCGAGGATTGCGTTGGGAATGGGACTAGCTGGGGGGTTTAGTTCATTTATGATGTGTAGCATTTAGGAAGGGGAGAGGAGTTTTTTGTCAATAAAAGAAAAATTAATGAGTCGGTAGGTCAAGAGGGGGGAGGGGGGTCTCCAACCAATTAGACCTCTTTTTGGCTATGTACGCGACAAGAGGGGGAAGGGGGTCTGAAACCAATAGAACCCCTTTTTGGCTATGCACCCGACAAGAGGGGGGAGGGGAGTCTGAAACCAATTGGACCTCTTTTTGGCTATGCACCCGACAAGAGGGGGAGGGGGGTCTGAAACCAATAGGACCTCATTTTGGCTATGCACCCGACAAGAGTGGGGAGGGGGGTCTGAAACCAATTGGACCTCTTTTTGGCTATGCACCCGACAAGAGTGGGGAGGGGGGTCTGAAACCAATACGACCTCATTTTGGCTATGCACCCGACAAGAGTGGGGAGGGGGGTCTGAAACCAATTGGACCTCTTTTTGGCTATGCACCCGACAAGAGTGGGGAGGGGGGTCTGAAACCAATACGACCTCATTTTGGCTATGCACCCGACAAGAGTGGGGAGGGGGGTCTGAAACCAATTGGACCTCTTTTTGGCTATGCACCCGACAAGAGTGGGGAGGGGGGTCTGAAACCAATACGACCTCATTTTGGCTATGCACCCGACAAGAGTGGGGAGGGGGGTCTGAAACCAATTGGACCTCTTTTTGGCTATGCACCCGACAAGAGTGGGGAGGGGGGTCTGAAACCAATACGACCTCATTTTGGCTATGCACCCGACAAGAGTGGGGAGGGGGGTCTGAAACCAATTGGACCTCTTTTTGGCTATGCACCCGACAAGAGTGGGGAGGGGGGTCTGAAACCAATACGACCTCATTTTGGCTATGCACCCGACAAGAGTGGGGAGGGGGGTCTGAAACCAATACGACCTCATTTTGGCTATGCACCCGACAAGAGTGGGGAGGGGGGTCTGAAACCAATTGGACCTCTTTTTGGCTATGCACCCGACAAGAGTGGGGAGGGGGGTCTGAAACCAATACGACCTCATTTTGGCTATGCACCCGACAAGAGGGGGGAGGGGAGTCTGAAACCAATTGGACCTCTTTTTGGCTATGCACCCGACAAGAGGGGGAGGGGGGTCTGAAACCAATAGGACCTCATTTTGGCTATGCACCCGACAAGAGTGGGGAGGGGAGTCTGAAACCATTTGGACCTCTTTTTGGCTATGCACCCGACAAGAGTGGGGAGGGGGGTCTGAAACCAATACGACCTCATTTTGGCTATGCACCCGACAAGAGTGGGGAGGGGGGTCTGAAACCAATTAGACCTCTTTTTGGCTATGCACCCGACAAGAGTGGGGAGGGGGGTCTGAAACCAATACGACCTCATTTTGGCTATGCACCCGACAAGAGTGGGGAGGGGGGTCTGAAACCAATTGGACCTCTTTTTGGCTATGCACCCGACAAGAGTGGGGAGGGGGGTCTGAAACCAATACGACCTCATTTTGGCTATGCACCCGACAAGAGTGGGGAGGGGGGTCTGAAACCAATTGGACCTCTTTTTGGCTATGCACCCGACAAGAGTGGGGAGGGGGGTCTGAAACCAATACGACCTCATTTTGGCTATGCACCCGACAAGAGTGGGGAGGGGGGTCTGAAACCAATTGGACCTCTTTTTGGCTATGCACCCGACAAGAGTGGGGAGGGGGGTCTGAAACCAATAGGACCCCTTTTTGGCTATGCACCCGAAACAAGTAGTCTAAAGTATCCAGAAGCTTAAATGATGCTAAAGGGATGTATTAAAATTTCCATATCTCAATAGACGTAACTTATGAATATCCCCAAATTTAGTTTTGTCATTTTTCACTAGAAAACTCTATGAGTCAAGAGTCGGGAATGTATTTTCATGACATCTATCGCCTGTCTTGTGGATGAAAACTTTCCAGAAAATAATTCATGAAAAATCAACAGAAAGTGACAAAATATTTGGAACATAAATAGACAGAGTTTTAATGAAAATTATATGACCTAACATAATTCATCGGTTAAAAGGCAGAAACTTTTATTTTTGTTCGCCTGTGTGTGCCTTTATATATGGCACAATTTGATATTTTATTATGATTAAATATATGAGAGAATATTTGTATTATGAAGAAATGAGACACACACACGAAAAATGAACGTATGGAACCGTACACGAAATGAAAACAAAGTCAAGTATATAAAAAAAAGGGAAAACAGATGAGCGGTGAAATAATAAAAATTACACGGAGAAAGCAAAGGAAGGAATGAAAGAAAAAAGTTTGAATAGTACTTTTAATATCATACTGGATGTATATTAAGGAAAGGAACAGAAAAAAAATGTAGCAGAAAAACTTTTCGTTCACATGTTTCCCCCCAATCGCTTTAGTCGTCTCGTAAAAGAAACTTTCTATGATTCACTTTTTGACAGGATATGAAAAACTTTTCCATTCGCTTTCATATCTGGCATCGACTCAGGTGTAGACTCTACTCTCAGTAGCAACATCTCAAGTGAAATTTATGGGCTTTTTTTTCCATTCATCCATTCAAATTTTTTTTTCGTGTGTAGCATCACATGACATGTGTAGTGTCTATTCCTACACATCAGCATTTATTTCTTATTTAATAGATAATAATTCTAACAAGATGATCGTGATGATGATTATTATTAGTCTACTCACCTTCTGCCTTTGCTGGTGGCTTACGACTGGCCCAATTAGTTCTAATCGAACGACATCCAAGGAATTGACCATTCATTGCTGCTATGGCACTCTCCGCTTCCTGAACGTGTAAGCGATTTTTTTTAAATATGGAAATAGAAATGAAAAAAGAAAAGAGAAGGGGCGAGAATATAAAGATTGAATGTTATGTGATTAAACTTTTTTAACTGCTTTTTACAGCTATAGCTTCTTCTTATTCTAAAGATTCATATCCTTCAGTATAGAACGAATGAATTAAGTTTGAAACTTTCAGGTTTTTTTAAGCTCTATAAGTGTGTATATGCTTTATTTTTATGAGAATTAATTGGAGAATGATTTCATTTGTAGCTACTTTTTATGCGGTTCCTTATTATTGTTGAATTTTATGTGGAAAATTTTTAATTGGGAATTTTTGTTTTCCAGAAAAAAAAGTTTATTTTACAGTTGGGAAATTCCTGTGCTTTTAATTTAATTTTCAGTCATTTTGGCATTTTATTTGTGCTGAATCTGGAAATTTTATTTACAAATAACACATCAGCATGTAGGAATAACATATGGTTCTTATATGTTTAAGGTAATCTTCATAGAATACGAATGAGGAGCTTCCTGAGTAGGAAAATAAGAAATTCAGCTAATTCAGCTGTTATTTTGACACAGAAATGTTGACACTCAGCAAAATGAATGTGCTGGAAATAAGCAGTCTTGATAATGCTTCTAAAAATAAAACTTTACTAGCTTAGAATGCTCAACTTTCAGCTTTTGGTACCGTAATCTTTATTTATGAATGCCCGCCATAACAACAGTTAAATAGCTTTATTTCAATTAATCAAATTATGTAAATCAGCATTTTTATTGCCAGTGCTGAGTATTTACATTCAAAAGCATAATTTCCGTTATGCCGTTTGTCACGTACATGCTTCAATAAAAACACAAAGGGTTCATAGGAATTATTTTTTCCAGGTTTATCGCTGCTCTTTTATGTGTTTATTCTTGATATCTACAATAATATTCATAAAACATTTCATACCTTTGAGCAACCTAGTCATCAATGCTCAATTTTTGTTTGCAACGAGAAATTTCCTTTGAAAAATTTAAATTTCAAATTTCCAATTTTAAAAATGCATCAAATTGAAATTTAATCCACATGAAATCCGACTGCGAAAAAGGCATTCGTAAAAAATGTTTTAATTTTAATCAAAAATTCTTCAAAGTTATTAAAATTCCGTTATTTCAATAAAGCAAAAATGTTGTTTTTTATCCCCTCTTAGTCGCGCTTCGTGGAAGATGCTTAAAATTTTTTCACTCAAGTATTTGCCTTATCTGAATCCTCTCACAGAAATTAAACAAATCTTTCATCCATTTTACGTAGTTTGAATAAGTAATGAGGAAGTCTGATGACGCATTGTGAGCTGGTTGCTACAGTTTGATTGATATGATTAGGTTTATAGGTGCTTAAGATAGCTTGTGACTAAGTATTCAAAAATTGTAAAGCTTTTTTGCTCAAAAACTCAAGCAAAATTAAGAGGGATAAATAAATGTTCCTGGCTAGACACTTATCTAGTTACGTAAGTCAACAGCCACTCAAAGCATCCACAATACCCCCAATAAGATCATTCTCCAACCATTCTAATTTATTTTTACCTACTTATCAAGAAGATGCGAATAAGAAGAAGGAATAAAAGTAAAAAAAGGAAAGAAAATGGAAAAAGAAGGATTTAAGAAGAAATAAGATTAAGAAAAAAAAAGTATAAAAATAAAATAAAAAGAAAATCAAAGTACATTAAGCTCAACACAACTTATCTCGTTCTTATTTCAACTTTCTTTTTTTCACTCTTATATCTACGAAAAAAAAAAACTCAAACTTGTTACATTTAATACTTACGGATTTTTTGACAAACGACACAAATCCATATCCTTTCGACTTCAATGTTTGTGGATCTCGAACGACACGACAGTCCCTGCGAGATTGAATTGAGTGTGTCATGAAAATTATTTTTTTTTCTTTTTCTTTTGTTCTCTCAATGCTCATATCAATTGATATTATGGTTTATTTATGATAAATAATTTTAGTTTATGTGTATAGAATTAGAATACGATTAATGCTTAAGTAGGTAGGTAAGTAGTTGTGACAGATAAATGGCGAAATAGAGTAGAAATAAGTATGAATAAAAAGTTTTGTCCCTTGGGAGATTTTTGTCAGATTATTTTTTTGAGCAGTTCTATTATTTGGGGTTGTTCATGAATGATGGATATCAAAAATTAAATTCCTTAGAACTTTATGTGTGACAAATACGACTTTTTGCTAATGTTTTCATTTAAAAATAAATCAAAATTTGGATCAACAGATGTTGTTCATAACAAATTCAAGGTTCGAATCCAACAATAAGATTTTTAATTGCATGTTTCTAAAGGAATTACTTTTTATCTTTAAATTCAAATAAATATTTTTTGTTAAATTTGAACAAATTTTTTCCAACAACCTTCCCAAGGAACTCCACTTAGATACAGCATGCAAACATAAAACTTTTCTTAATGAAGATGTCTCATCTCAATAATCATAATATATATAAAATGAATAAATAGAAAATGAAATTGAAAGAAAATGTAGATGGAGAAGATGAAAGAAATGAAGAAAGTATCTATGTATATATATATATATATATATATTTATAGTTCTATATAGACAGTAAGAGAGATAGAAACAGAAAGAAAAGTAAATTAAATCATCTTAATGGACTTACGAAATTTCTCCAAATGGTTGAAAAGCTTCTTTCAATGTTTGCGTTTCAATTTCGGGCGAGAGATCGCCAACGAAAATGTGATAGTGTTCTGTAAGTAGAAAGAAATAGGAATTAAATATTTTTTTTCAGAGGATTTATTGGATTTATATAAAATGATTCGAAAAAGCGAAAGGAAGTATTGAAAATTAAATAGATTTTGTTGGCGCAAGAATTTTATTCATTTGCTGATACGAACAATTTAAAAGCTTCGACCGTTATAGTTTCGAAGAAAACTTGAGAAAAATGACTTATTTGTCTGTCTGTCATACAAATATTGAAGTTTCATTCCTAGCAAATCGACATTTTCGAAAAACTGTCAAAAATTTTAACGGTTTTTTCAAATTTGAATTTTTTCAACGTGCATGTTATAACACCCCTAGTCACTTTCAATAAGTCTGTCGAACATTTCAATTTTAAGTTTTTCTCAACTTTTTAACTCTTAAATTCCAAGACGGTCCGCAATCTCCAATATTTAATTTCGAGCATCAAAACCCCTTACAACTCCACTGCAGTATCACAAAAAATTGGATAATAAACCAAGTATCTATAAAGTTAAGTAGTTCTGGCAGCCAGCGAATAAAAAAGAAGGAATAAAAAATTTTACTTCATAACTACACATCCATCCATTTGTGTTTTTATAGCTCTGCAAGAGCAAGAACGAAAAAAAAGAGGACAGAAAATAAGAAACTTAAATGGAAAGTCCTTTTTTATGATAGTTGCAACGAGCATTGAATTTTATTAGCTTAAAAACGAAATGGAAAGACAAGCTTATTCCCAGCGAGATGCAGTATGCTTAAATTGAACGTGTTGTTGAGAATTTTTTCATTATGAAAATTAAAGTTTTTTTTACACATCAACGGATTTCTTTTAAGGTGTTCAGCTGAACATTCCATGACCTTCTTATGAAGTTTGGAATTTGTAAAGCTTAAGAATTTTAATACCTGAAAACTTTGTTGATGATGTTTTTGATGTCTGTAATTTGTTTTTGAAGTCAAAGTTAAGCTCTTTGATTTTTGGACAGTTTTTGATGGTAATGTATATCCAAAGGTTTATAGAATGAATAAATAATGAAGCACTTGCTTGTTTATGATTCAACATGCACTTTATTTAAAATGTCAACTCGATTAATTTATTTTATTATGATGAAATGTTTGAATTCACGAAGGTAAATTTCGTCATTAAATTCAATGAACTTTACAAGTGCATTTGAGTTAGTCTGAATATGCACATTAGCTGAAAATATCATCCTGAATATATGCAAAAGTTCATTTCAAATTGTTTTTAATGATGCACTTTTCAGCACTGCTCTTTTTTTTGCTTGAAGTAATAAGCATCTTTATTATTATCTAGTAGATGTAAATGCAGTGATTGTGTTTAATGAACCATGCTCAATTTTTTTCAATGCATCTCTGTAGCTATTGTTTGCCATTTTATTACAAATTGAAAGAGAAATTTGATTTTTGTGTCGTTCATGTAGGTTTTAGCTACATACACTTTATTTTTATTTAATTTTTGATTTTTCTAGGTTTTGAAGATTCTAGTAAGTATTTGGGTACTGAGGAAATGAGATTTATTCTGTACCTTCAATACTGTGCCCAGAAAATGACTTGTTCTTCGAGTAAAGATCGACAAAGTGAACAAAAAGCTTAAAATCAAACCTGAAGTTGGTGTCAAAAGCTATCAAAAAAAACCTATACTGGAATTGAAAATCGATAAACTACTCTCTAGGCTAGTGTTGTCTAAGCTGTGTGCCGCGGCACACTGGTGTGCCTTAGAATATTTTTGGAAATGGCGTGAGCCGCATGTTGTGTGCGACTTTGATCATGGCTTTCCTCTAAGGTTTGCCGTAGCTGAAAAAGTATGGATAACACTACTCTAGGCTATCAAACCTAGTCACAATGAAATTTAGTAGCTTTAAAAATCGACCTTACACCGACCTTAAGAACTAACCTAACCTTTTGACATGTGCGGTTAATATTGTTCGAATTTAAGACCATTGGCATTTGGGTTTATGCTAGTCTCTGTTGATACTAGTCGTTTTATTCAACATAGCAATGCTTCAACATTCTTCTTAATTCTTTATTTAAATTTCATGCCTTAAATATTTTTTTATGATAAAATTAGAAATTCTCTTTTATATGTTAATGATGTTTTATTTATAGAAACTGTATATTCAAGTTACAATGTACAATTTTAGATGCCGTATACTTCCAAATCGAGATAAATGAAAAGCCTTCTAGCTTGAGGATACAATTATTAACAATTTTATATTCATTACAATTTTCTTGTTCTTATTACTGAATGAAATTTATCTCACGCAATATATACAGGAATTTGCTGTTCCTAATTAGAAGTTGAAGTTATGTATTTAATTAATAACATTTTACTAATTTAATCAATAATGCTCATTTGTTTAGCATAATGGTGATATTCAAGACATTACTAGTTTGATGTTATTTGTATATAATATGCAATATTATGGCTGGCAAAATAGATTGGTTCAAAAGGAAGTGAATCCAAATAATTTTTTCGACAGTTATTTTTCCGAAAATTTAAATTAAAATTTTTAAATAACCTTAATTTTAAGCTTTTAGTTCCAGTAAATTATTGCATCTTTAAGTACCAGTTACAAATTGCCATAATTCTATACAAATGACGGGCTTCTTCTGTTTCGTAGAAATTAGCAACTGACTGCTGTTAACAGACAGCTTATTGACCTTTGTATATTTTGATCTCGATATATATCCTTAGGAAATATTATTATCCATCCAATAATGCTGAACAAAGCAGTTCAATGCTTTATCGAAAACAACATGTCTCGCACCAAATAAGTAAAGGATTATTTAAAAGTTTAATAGCAAAATAAGAAATCTCAACAGAAAATCCCTTCCAAAAAGGAAAAAATTCAGCATAGAAACAAATAAAACAAATTAGGAATTAAATGGAAAGCAGAACCAAACCATAGAGAAGAGATTAAGAGGAAGATGATAAGAAGATCCAAAAGTGACATGATCGCAACATAAACGAGGGATATCTGAGCTGAAGGTCTTTCATTTCCACACAAGTAGGTCATACATTTGTTAAAATATTCGGATCCATATCAAACCATTCAAAATTAATCTTTTCGAAAGGAATTTCCATTTCTCCAACGTACTAATTAACATCATGGCATTTTTCGGCATTTAATTGTTGATTTTCCGCATTCCAATGCCTTTTGCATGCTCCCTCAATCGTGAAGCAATTTAACAGCCTTTTTGACTAAGGCATTCATGAAAATGGGAACAAAAAGAGAGTCTTTTTCGAATGAATGCATTTCCATTAATGTTTTAATTATTAAATGAAAGCAATTCAACCTGAGATAATTACTTCTTTTCCATTCAATTTAGCTTTTTTTTGCCATTTTAATGACCGAAAATGAGAAGCTAAGTCAAAGAGGTCGTTCGGATCAAAAGGGTCTCACTTGAACAATATAAGAATGTCTTAAGAAGTTTAATGATCAAAAATTATTGAAAATGGGATCCCGTGGACAGTTTCTAGTGACGGGAACTTAGGTGGTTGTACTAAAATGACGTCCTTACAAGTAAGGACATAATTCGTCTGTCTGTTCAATCTGATGTTAAAGAAAGTTAAAATATGACGTTCATTGAAAGTTAAAAGTCTTTCTGACAACACAAATTTATGAAAAATTGGACCTAATTTATGAACGATCCTCTGGGACATGAGCATTTAATCCCCATCTGTGTTCATACATATAATTATTTAATAACATAATCCTACGAATGAGTAACAACATCTCGTAAATTTATCGATCGAATACAGCCACAGTTTTTATTGCGAAAAATGCGCTAAAAAGTTATTATGCGAAAGTAATGACTTCCATCACTGCAATATCCTTTCTGACTGGGTCAAAAGTATAAAATATATCATCACATTTATGGAAAATATAGCGGCGAGAAATGAGGAAAAAAAAGAAAAGGAATGACAGCAACGGAAAGACATAAAGGAAGTGATTCAGTGTGGCGCTTTTTTGTCTCCATCAGTAAGACTTCTTGCTTGCATCCTTATGACACTTAATTTCGACCATGAATTACCCGTCCATATACAACATCTTCCTTCTCTTTTCATTTTCATTTCTCTGTTAAATATTTATGTGTCTTCATACTATTAAGGCAATGGTACAACAGCAGAAGGCTGTTTTTACATCATGTCTGCTCTCATTTGTCTGGCTGCTATTTCCATTTGCTGCTGATATTTTAAAATTGCGACGAATGCAGTATCAGAATAATTTATTTTAGATGATGGAAGAAAAAAAATGAAATAAAATTTTTTTTCTGCTGCTTTTGTCATAGAGACTTTTTTTTTTCATTCACAAAAATACAACACGAGAGAAAGAGATGACAAGTTTGGTTGGCAGGTCTAAGATATGATTGAAGCGCATTTTTCTATTGTTTGAAAATTTTGGATTTTCGTTGAAGTTGGATTAGTTCTTTGATAGCTCTTGCCGTTTTTGAATGTGTGACTACCTTATACAACCTAGTCCAGCTATCACTAATCCTTGAACAACTAGCAAAATAATTCTCAAAAATTTAATCAAGCACCAAAAAGTCAGCAAAAAGAAACATTTCAAAACCTACAAGCTTTGCACCATAGTTACTTTTTTAGACGTCAGAGTTATTTGTGCAGATGACAAAGATTTTAAAAATAAACATCAAATAAGGAAGAAGAGAGTGAGTAAGGCAAGATTTTTGTAATACGACCACGTATTCTCCCACGACAAATTGATTGTTTAGAACGAATCATGAGAAAAACTTGCACATCAGAGCAAAAAATGGAAAATTAAAGAAAAAGAAACGATGAAAATGCTTCATAAACAGGCACAGGACATAGCACCAAAGAACGAGCAAATGAATGAATGAGTGAGTGAGTGAATGTGAAAGAAAAAGAGCAAAATAAATAAATTTTATGGTCGTGCATAAGAATCACGGGATGAAAATTTTATACAGAGAAGAAGGAACAAGAAGCATATAACATAAAAAAAAATTCCTGGCA